TCGAGAGGTTTTGGCGGGTATTTTTATTGATCTGGAACTCCTCCCCCTGAGTTTTTACAAAGAGTTGTGTGTTCTTTGAAGGCTAAATTCAAAGAGAAGAACGTTAGTCTATAAGGCTCAAATTCTTAAATAATTTGCTTTGTGGGATGTTGTGAACCTGAAATACTATTTTTTTTTAAGCAGCCCTGGCAAAAACACCGAGCCCTTATGAGGGGTAAGATTCAAGCTCCCTGCTTCTTGGTGGAGTTGTTCCCGTGGCCCTTCCGTTGCCTGGGTGTTTTTCAGTCCCCCCTCGGTGCAAAGGCTGGGCGCCGGTCAGCTGGAGCGTAGGCAGCAGCTGCGGTGGCCCTTGGGCTTCGTTCTGGAGCAAAATGCAATTAGCTTGCCTGTGTTAAATGCAGCAGTCTGCCTCGGCGGTCCCAGTGTTCCTGAGGGCTTTAAGCAGCCTGTGTTCGCTAGGTAGGTGAAAGAAAAGCATCTGACTGTGCTCTGAAGTGAAACCGTAAGCTTCTGAAGTCTCTGAAAGAGCTAACTGAGCAGAGGGACGCGTGGTGGTGGCCAGTGCCGTGGTGGTGCAGGTGGCTCTCTGGCCCTTGCCATTTGAAGTCTGCAGCCAGGTGTCCATGGTGAGCGCAGTACTTTCTACCCTGAGCAAGCCTGTCGGAAGTCTCTTTTGTTCAGTATTTGCTGAACTTTTTTACTACACATCTTTTTACAAAGGCAGAAGCAGACTTGTAAACGAGGTAGTTATGGTGCCTTGAAAATAATCTCTGTGGATCCAAGGGGGTAGGAACTCCCCAGCTTGGCTGTTAAGAGGGGGTGCTATGCTGGGCTCAGCTCCTGGTGTGCTTGGCAGGGAGCATGCGATGCCTGTTCTGGTGTGGGGAAACCTTTGCCATACGGGCACCCCCCCAGCCATGCAAGTCTTAGTAGTGTGGAAGTACATCTCTGTAGGAAATGTCAGACCCTTGGGCAGTATCTGCAAGGAGGAGCACATAAGGCTGGGGCTTAATGAGTTAATGGCCCTCAGGATATTTGCACATTATATCACAGTTGATTAATATGCTCATACAGGAGTGCACTTTTTTCAGAGGAGCTGTTAGCTTTGGTCTAAACTTGTTTGAAAGCCTGTGTACCACGGGAAAAAAGCAGGGAGTAATTGGAATAGGGTCCATTTTTCCCCCTACTCTCTCCCAGCTGTTGCTGGGTGTTCAGTTCAGCTGTTGTGGCTGATGCCTATCCACAAGTGTGTGAACAGATACCAAGGTCTCAGCTATTTAAACTCTGACACCTGTCCTCCTTCCCTTGCAGCTGACATCAGCCTTGCAGACTGGGGTCGCAAGGCCATTGAGATTGCGGAGAATGAGATGCCAGGGCTGATGAAGATGCGGGAGATGTATGCTGCGTCAAAGCCACTGAAAGGCGCACGTATCGCCGGTTGCCTTCATATGACTGTGCAGACGGCAGTTCTCATAGAGACCCTTATAGAGCTGGGAGCTGAGGTAAAGTGTCTCTGAGTTTCTCCTTCAGCGTGCTTGTAGGGAATACTCTGCCTGGGATGCTGCTTCTGCTTGTAGAACTGCCTTAGGGGGTCCTGGCAAATGTCTGTACTTCTTGAAAGAGACCATGCTGCAGTCTCTGGGTGGATGGACTGTCTCTTCTCTCCTATAGCAAAAAGTTGACACCTGTACTGCGTGCCCCTCTGGGATGCTGGGATTTGTCTTCCCTATGGACAAACTGTATCTACATGATGTGTTTTGGGCTGGGCCCCTGGCTTCAGCAGCTTCGTCGGCTATGTGTAGAGTACCCTGAGCAGCAGTGCTGAAAGCTGCTCCCATGTGACTGTGTTGTGTTCGGGCATGCAGCGCTGTTGCTGGTATTGCTGAAGCTCTAATGACTGCCTCCAGCACAGATTAGGCTGTATTAAGAACCACACCATGCCCTGGTAAAGTCAGCAAAAACTAATGAAGTTTTCTGAGAGCTCGTGCTGGCCCTGAAGCTGTGCAGGAAAATAACAGGGAGGCAGTGCGGTTCAGTGATTGAGGGCTAGGGATACTGCCAGCTTTGAATTTGTTATGTCGGGACCAGTTACCCTGGTCCGTATTGAAGACTGGGATACTTCTAAGCCATTTGCTGCATTATGCCCTCTACCTTGCTCGCTGAATGAAGCCCAGACATCATGGCTGAGTCTTCACTGTACAGGGCACGAGCAGAGCCAGACATCTGAGCACAATCTACATAGCTTGTGTGCTGAGTGGGGAGCTGACTGGAACTTGATGATGGATTATATTAAGTATGTATGTGATCTGAAATTCCTTCTTCCTGAAGTTTAGCCGCCTGAACTCAGGCTGCCCAGAGACGCCTTGTTTGAGATCCCTCCCAGGGAATGATTGAAAGAGTTGAGCACTGTCATGCTGATCAAAAGGCCGTGCGAGGAGGGGAAGCTCTGTAGCAGCTAAGGCATTGCCTCAAAAAGTGGAGGGGTAGGTCTAGGCAGCATGCCAGGTCAGCCTGGGCAAGGGATGTGCTGTTGTGCAGGTGTTCTTTAGCCTATTCAGAGCTGTTGCATGATTGCAAATGGTGCAGTGCTGAAGAAAAGCTTTGGGGAGGTACAGTCCTGGCTTTATTCCACTCTGCGTATGAATCTCTTGTCCCTCCATGCGATTTAAAATAAAGCGGTAGCCACTGAAATGTGGGAAGCTCCTTGCTGCCTTGCTGCTTCTGTTGGTTGCTGTATCCCAGTATGGCTGGTTTAGGCAGCAGCTGTGTGCTTACTTAAACATTGCCAAGCTGCTTTAGGCTGAGCACAACCCCAGGTTAATGTTGTATGGGATTCATCTGAGCAGGTACCTGCAGAGGTTTGGTCCCTCTAAGCCTTTAAGATGTGTGCTGTCCTGTTAGCTCCTTCCTTCTGCTGCTGCCTGCATGTTAGTTTAGACTTTGATTTGAGTTTGGATTCTGCTCTGGTTCACCTGTTTTGTGAGAACTTTGGTGCGTGGGAGGGATGAAGCTGATGAAACCATACCCTGCCTAATGAGGACGTAGCTCACTGCAGCGTGGCAGTCTTGGTATCCCTTTTTTGGCTAGGTTAACTAAGAATAAATACTCTGTTTCAGAGTGTAAGTTCCAAAATTGTAATCAAAATAACCAGTGATGTAAATGTTAGGCTCTGAGCCCATGGGTTATGCCAGTTATTCTAGGGTCTATGCCATTAGCACAAACGGATGTTACAGATCTGAGGATGCAGAGTTGAAGTGACCTATGTCTTGTATCAAATGCTTGAAGTGTAAACAATATATAGGTGTTCTATATACTTTGACTTTCGTGACACCACGTGATGTCATCAGTACTGATGTGGAGGGAGCTTGGAAGAACCTAGGGGAGGAGGTGCAGTGCCTGAGGTCATGAGTTCAGTTTTCCTGTGCTCCTTCCAGGTGTGTGTTCACTGATGAGCGATGGTTGTGTAGGCTCAGATGAGGTACCTCCTAGTGCAGCCCTTACTTTGAAGTGTCAATTCTCAATAAAATGGGATGAGTATCTGGAAACAGGCTGAAGGATTATGCCTTATTGCCCTCTATCCTCAAGATCTGTTACAAATGAGCATGCAAATACCTGTTAGTCAGCCGCGTAGGGAGCAGGGTGAGAACCTGTGTGTGGCTCTGGGATGTGGTGTTTCTGTGCCTGCTGGGGAGTTGTAGTAGGTATGCAGATACTTTTCAATGCAACTCAGCAACGTGCTGTTGCTTTTCTAGGTGCCTGAACCTAGTTATGAAATCTGTGTGGAAAAGGCTTAGCTCAGCTGGAAAAGCTTCCATGACTGGAGCACAGAGTGGGAGGTGGGTGAGCATAATCTTAGAGAATGCCTGTTGATGGAGTGTTGTTTCAGCTGCATTTCTGACTCTTCTGAGTGCCAGCAGGTGTGTTGCTGCATGTCCATATCCCTCAGTGGACACTTGCTATGTGGCTGCTCTGAAAATCTGAACTTTATTGACCCAAACTTTCTAAACTCACTCTGCTGTGCACTTCCTGAAGACTTATAGCTGAATGTATGCTCTGGCTGGCAGAAGCTCTCGTGAGTAAGGAGATGGCTGAGTATGTGGCACAGCTAAAGCTCCACTGCGTTCTCTCCTAAAGTGACATGATTTTTCCCTGGCCTAGTCAGATACTTAGTTTTCACCTTAACTTTGCAGAGCTACTGAGAAAGGCAGGAATCTGCACTAATATGCCCTTCTGCTCTTACTCACTTTTAAACTCCTGTGTCTGGAAGAGTGCCCGCTATCGCAGAACTTTGTTCAGCAAACAAAACTTGGGTTGTTTTCCAGGTACAATGGTCAAGCTGCAACATTTTCTCCACTCAGGACCACGCTGCGGCTGCTATTGCAAAAGCTAGTATCCCTGGTAAGTTTTCCATGTTCAAATTTGGCTCTGTGTTGGCATGTACTGCCTGTTCTAGCTAAATCAAACTGTCAGGCTCTTCTGAACAAGCTTCAGGATAGCAATAGCCCATCAAAAGCAGCGATTGTTACAAACCAGGACATTTGATTCAGTGTATTGCATCAGACTGTGCATAGCACTCCTGACAATGGTGCCTGTTAGGCTATGAAACAGCCTGGCTGTATGTTATCAGCTTGAAGCCAGGTCATTAAGATGATTGAATGAGCTGGGTAATTAAATGGATTGGTGCGTAGGTGTGTGTAGTTGGAGGTGTTTGGTGCTTTCCAGCAAGCCTGGTTCTAAATAGGGGTCAGGGAAGGGATGGTAACTGCAGTGGGCCTTGTTACAGTGTCAATGCTGAAGATACTTTAAGTCTAGAGCTAGGCCAGCTGTGTTGCTGCCTAATATCCCTGAAGTGGTTTATCAGGATGCTGCTGTTTTGCTACTGTCACCTTCCAATAAAGAGCAATTCTGTGCAGATCAGTATGAAGACATCCAGCTGTCTGCTGTGTTACTCGGCTTAAGGACAGATAGTCCTTATTGTTCCATGCTGGGAACTGTGTGGCTTGAGCCCTCATGTTGGCAGAGGCTAAATCTGATTTCTGGCAGCCTGCTTCTTTGCTTTGGGAGTTGTCCTTATTGTTCCATGCTGGGAACTGTGTGGCTTGAGCCCTCATGTTGGCAGAGGCTAAATCTGATTTCTGGCAGCCTGGTTCTTTGCTTTGGGAGGTGTCTCTCATTTTTGCTATAATTAGATATTGCCACAAGTCTTTCGCCAGCTGTGGTCCATTCTAAGGTAACAGAAGAAAGTGATCCCTTCATCAGCATTTTTGGCATTGACATGTGATGTCAAAGGACCAGGCAGGACACTCTAGACCTGATGTTAGGATATGGCCTTCCTGATGGCTCTTAAGACCCAAAACTCAGCTGAAGAGCAGTTCACGGGTAGAGTGTTTGTCGAAGTTTTTGACTTGGCATTGGTGTCCTTGTTTTGTGGAACTTTTGTTAATATTGCACATCACATAATTTACAAGACCTTGGATACAATATGAGATACTGATGCATGTTTCTTCAGAAGGGGCAATTGCATGATTGGCTCTTTGTGGCTCAAGAGTTAGTTTTCTGTGTAACCATGGAAACATGACAATTTAGCCAAGTGCTGGGGTATGTAAATCATGTGTCTAATGTATGTTTGAATGGCTGAGTACCACTGAGGCTCAAGTATAGCATGAAGCCACTAGAAATGCCTGGAAAGGCAAAAATACTGCTAGATACAACATGGTAGTGGCTGCAGCATGTTGCTGGTGGTAGATGTACTAATACAGAAATACGCCCTAATAAGAGCAGACATGGCACAACAGCTTGGATTTTAGTGCTGTGCTAGACACTAGAATTTAAACTCAAAGTTACTGAAGAGTTTGTAGTCTGGTGTTTAGCTCATGCTAAAGTCTAGTCCCTCTTTGCTGCTATGCTAGAAAATGTTGTTATGTTTTCATTTATCTATATCAATATATCCAGTGGCTATTTCTAATTCGTGGTAACACAGGGTGTATTAGGGGAGTAAATGGGGTGTTGTGGATGTAAGTCTGCTTTAGTTTACTTTGCCTTCTCTCTCTTAACATGGAAGAAGAATGAGAGCAGTGAAGTCTCAAAATTTTGACCAAGTTTGTGGCCTGAAACAGAAGGCAAAGTGATTGCACCTCTGCTCATTCTGGGATCTTTTTTTAATGCAAATGTCTTTTCTGGCCTGCAGGCACAGATGATAATCCGTCTTTTGCCTCTGCTTCTGAGAGCTGCTGCTGAAATCTTCCCTTGGCTGCTTTACTACATGCTGAGCAAGAAACTGGCTAATTGTGTGTGTTTGTTCCCATGCAGTGTTTGCCTGGAAAGGGGAGACTGACGAGGAGTATTTGTGGTGCATCGAGCAGACCCTATACTTCAAGGATGGGCAGCCCCTCAACATGATTTTGGATGATGGTGGAGATCTTACCAACCTAGTTCATACCAAATACCCACAACTCTTGAAAGGTGACTTTTATTTCTTGTCAGGCACGGTTCTGCTTGGGATGCTATTTAGGCAGTCTGTTTCTGCGGGAATTCCCTGCTTGTGTGAAAAAGGGTAGGGGAAGAGGGACAGGCATGTGCAAACAGGCTGTAGGTGAGTCTATGAAAATTGCTTACAGGCCAAGACCAGAATCTTACCTGTGTGAGCTGTTTCCATCTCAGCCCTGTAGTATTAAGCTGCAGTGACCTGTCCTTCTGGCCATCCTTCGCAGTGCCCATTACCTGAGAAGGACCAGTGGTGCTGTTGACTTACCAAAAGCTTCCTGGAAATGGGCTGTGTTCTAGAATTGCTTAAAGTCTGCTTGCAATTAATATTTTTAACATTAAAGCTTTTTTCCCCCCATCCTCTTAGTGCACCCGTGGATGGAGTCATGACAACCTGTAGCCTTTCTTGGAAAGGAACAATTTTCTACCTTGTATAAACTACAAGGCATTAACTCATCCAGTTTATGTCAGTGAAGACGTTGATGAAGTCAGGGTTGGGACTCTGCTGCTTTGACTGATTACTTTCAGTGTAAGTCAGTAAAACTGAAAACAGATCAGTGCGGTGTTGCTAGCACGTGTTTAGGTAAAAAGGTTTCTCTAAAGTGAATTTGGCATGGCCTGCAGTAGCAGGCTGCTCTGTGCCTGGCAAGTATGACAGATGCTCCTTTTCTCAGCCAGTGTCCATCATCTGCGCTGCTGCAAGCCACAGATGCCCAGTGTTACTAAAGGGCATCTGGGATGTGAAAAAAAAATTGTATGGTGATACAGGGTAGAAACTAAGCTGGTGCGATGGGGTGTGCTGCTGTCCATTCTTGGTCCGTAGAGGTGAGGTTGCTGTGGAAGCCTGCTGGAGCAGCTCTCCTCTGACTCTTGCAGTGCTTTAAGAGGAAGCTGTGGGGAAAAAGTCTGAAGGTGGCAGGCCCTGGATAGGGCTATGTGAGGGGAAAAGGCTGGGGCTGCCCTTCTGCGTAACAGGCCTCACTTTCTCCTTCATCCTCAACCTGATGTCATTAGTAATCCAACAGTCAACATCTTCATGTTATTTAAACTGCAAGGAGAGGTTTTCACTGGTGCCTCCTCAGCCATGCTAGGGTCCCCTCTCTTCCATCAAAGGTCTCTTGCTTTCTAGATTGCCTCAGTCTGATGTTCATGACCTCTTTCCTGCCATTTGATGCCAAGGAATACCACAACTCCTCATGCCGCCTTCTCTTCCTGGCATTGACAGAGGCCAGAAAATGCATTTTCCTGTTCATACTCTTTTGCAGGGTTGTGCCGCCATGCACATGCAACACCTCAGTTGGTGTCCCTGTTCCTGGTGGTCCTTGTGCTGAGTTGCTTTCACGCTTTGAGCCCTCCTGCTGTCTGCTTCTTTCTCACCTCCAGCCCTTTGCTGCATCTGATTTGTCTTGTGCTCCTGGTGTGGAAGGGACTGATATAGCACGGTGCAGTAGCACAATGGCTGCTGAACTGTCTCCTGTCTTGGCATCCATCTCTAGTCTGCCACTGATAAAAAACAACCCTACTGCCTGGGCTTGCTTCCTAAATTGATACAAATAGCTCTTCAACTGGGTTGTTAAAGAGCCTAGGCAGGATGCCATAAATGTCAACATTTCCCTTGCCAAAAAGTGTGTGCTGTCTGCACTGACTGTAGTTGAAAAGCCTCCTTGCAGCAGTTCAGTAAACTAATGAAGACTGATCTCTGTGGAAGGTGACAGAACTTGATCTGTTTTACCTTCTGTTCCATTGCTCCTTGGAAATAGCAAAACTACTAGAATGAGACCCGCTGAGTAGAGTCTCGATCTCGTTTAACAGAGCTCTGTGCTTAGTCCTTTGCTGTAAAGACTGCTTAAATGAAGCTGTGTAGCATCCATTTTTGTGTCTTGGAGAAAACAGGCTAATATAGCTTAAGGGCTTGTAGTGATATTTGACCTCTTTGGAGGAGAGGTAGGGCAAGAGTAGCAGAACACGCACAGCGTGTGGGAAGACTGGATCATGAACACACAAGACATTTTGCCATGCAGCATCTGAAAGTGCTGTTTGCCATTTAAAGGCTGGACAAGTGTGGTGGTTCAAGCCCAGCTGGCAGCTAAGCACCCTGCAGCTGCTTGCTCACCTCTCCCCCTTGCTGGGGTGGGGAGGGGAATCAGGGGGTGGGGAAAAGTGAAACTTGTGGGTTGAGATAAAGACAGTTTAACAGGAAGAAGATAATAATGATAATACGAGACTATAGAAATTGAATGGTGCACAGTGCAGTTGCTCACCACCTGTTGTCTGATGCCCAATCCAGCTGAGCAGAGATCACAGTGCCTGGCCAACTCCACCAAATTTGTGTACTGAGTGTGATACCATATGGTATAGCATAGCCCTTTGGCCAGTCTGGGACAGTGGTCCTGTTTGTTCTTCTTTCCAGCTGCTGGTGCATCTTCTCAGTTGGTAGAGCATGGGAAGCTGAAAAAGTCCTTGACTTGGCATAAGCGTTACCTAGCAACAACTAAAACTGTCAGTATGTTCTCAATGTTGTTCTCATACTAGGTCCAAAACACAGCACTATACCAGCTAGCAGGAAGAAAATTAACTTTATCTCAGTGGAAACCAGGACAGTATCCACCCCTTGTTCTGTACCATCTATGTCATGCCCAGATGTATACATTCTGATTAATTGCCACCACTCTTTCTGTCCTGGAATATATATACACATACAGATATAGTCTATAGGCTATTGCTCTAAAATTTCCATGGAGTTCATTTAGTCTATGACTTTGGCTCCATCTGTCATAACAGTCTTTCAGGGCAGGAGAGATGTGTGGTGTTGGATTGTTGTGTGCTGAAGCTGGTTCTGGTTCCATCACCACTTCCCACATGTTCCAATCACCACTTCTGCCTCTTCCTCCTGTTCTCTTGATGACCCTTGGTGGGATGGGGAGGAGAATTGGAAAAAAATAAACCCAAAACTAATGGGTTGAGATGAAGACAGTTTAAGAGGACTGCAAATGAAGGAAGGATAGTGATAATAGAATATGCCAAAGCAGTGATGCACACTGACGAAACCGGGAGAAGTTTTCTGGGGTAATTTCAAATGGAGCTGTCTGGCTTCCATGCTTCAGCTGCTTCTGATTGAAAGAGAAGTTAGTTCAGTCCTGGTGTGCAACTAATGGTTGAAAGGAGGGCTTGTTCAAGTCTACTTCAGCTAGGAGATGTGTTAAATAGCTGTGTGGAAATGCTCAGCAAGCTTCCCCTCTCGCTAATCCTGACTGCTTGTAGAGGACAGAATGGCCTTTGTACTGTTGGCTTACTTCTGTACATCAAATGCCCTTAAAACCAGGATAAATAAAGGTAGGAGGGGGAAAACTAGAACTGAACAAATGAAAAAGTCATCTGAACTCATGCGAGGGAGGTCTCTGGCCTCTGTGCAGAAGACTGCTGTTAAGAAGGGATGGAGAAGATTGGAGCGTTTGTGATCCATTGATGCAGACTTGCTCACTGATCAGGTAAGAAATACAGGCGAGGAAAGCAGGTCTGAGTGTTTAGCAAGGCTTTTTCTATTTAATTCAGCCTTTTTCTTTGCTGTTCTCCAGTCACTGAAGTCACCAAGGCATTGAAATGGAGTGATGCAGGTAGCAGGTCCTTTGGCAGAGTTGTGAAGCAGTTCCTACCAGCCGTAAATGTCCCCTGGGGGCAGCAGGCAGGTGGTCCTCGGGGAAGGGAAGCCGCTGGCCTCCATGGTGTGAGGTTTGGGTAGTGCAGTTTGAAAGACGATCTGCTAGGCTTATAAATGTCAGCCTGGAGAGCTTTTGAAGGATGATAAGTGTGTCTTCTCGTTGCCAGATAGACCAGAAGAGAGAGGGCAGGTTTGAACTGGAGGTTTCTGCCATGACCTCCCACAGATTTCCTTCACAAGGGGATGATTGTGCTTGATCTGGGCAGTTGCACTGGAGAATTGATATTTTGGGAGACTAATGACAGGTGCTGCATTTCACTGAGCACCAGGCAATGTTCTGTCCCTTCCAAGCAAGCCCTAAATAGGTGAAAGCCTGAACTCATTCTCTCTGCAGGTAGCTGTGTGGGGAGTGTAGTTACTGAAGGCTCTGTGTGGGGTCTATGACAGGACAGACCTCAGTGGGGACAGATCTGCCTACTCAAGCTCTATTTCTTTCTAGCGTTGTTCGTCACATTTCCTTTGTGTGACGGAGTGCCTGGTGGGCTGGGAGATGAAAGGGAGGTCTAATGGCTCTGTCTTCAACTCCATCGATACAGTACCGCTCCTACCAGGACAGGCTGAGGGAGTTTGGGCTGTTCAGCCTGGAGAAGAGAAGGCTCCGGGGTGACCTTAGAGCAGCTGCCAGTACCTGAAGGGGCCTCAAGGAAGGATGGAGAGGGGCTTTTCACAAGGGTGGGGAGTGATAGGACAAGGGGGCGTGGCT